GTTTGGTCTAACTAATGCACCTGCTACATTCCAGCGAGTAATGCAGAGTGCTATGAGTGACTTTCTATTTCAAATAATGTTGGTGTATTTGGATGATATTCTAGTTTACTCAAAAACTTGGGAGGACCATCTAAAAAGATTAGAACAAGTGTTTCTCCGTCTCAGGGAGATAGGAGTAAAGCTGAATCCAGACAAATGCTGTTTTGGTCTGAAATCGGTACATTTTTTGGGTTATGTGATTTCGTCGGATGGCATCGCCACTGACCCAGAAAAAATTGCAGCTGTTAAAGAATGGAAACAGCCAACAACTACAGTAGAGGTCAGATCATTCTTGGGCTTTGCTTCCTATTATAGAAAATTTGTGCCTGGTTTTGCAAAAATTGCCGCACCATTGCATGACTTGGTAAACAAAATGACAAAGAAACACAGTAAGGAGAAAAAGAAAGGTAAAACACAACTGATAGGTGAATTATGGACTGATGAATGCCTGAACTCGTTTAAGCTCTTGAAAAAGGCTTTGACAGAGGCGCCGATATTGGGATACGCGGACTTTGATAAACCATTTCGGTTAGAAATTGACGCCAGCTCTAAAGGTCTGGGAGCTGTGCTATCACAACAACAAAAGCAAGGTTTCAGGGTTATTGCGTATGCCAGTCGAGCTCTGAAGGGATCAGAGAGGAACATGACAAATTACAGCGCCATGAAACTAGAACTTTTGACATTAAAATGGGCTGTGACTGAAAAATTCAGGGACTATCTATTAGGTGCTAAATGTGTGGTATACACTGACAATAACCCCTTGAGTCACCTAAAGACAGCAAAGTTGGGATCCATCGAACAGCGATGGGCAGCAGAATTGGCACTCTTTGACCTAGAGATAAAGTATCGCCCGGGGCGGTCCAATGGCAATGCGGACGCCTTATCAAGGAATCCTTACGAGAAACCGGGTGATGAGGAAGAAACGCTGACAGGAATATGTGAGGTCAGAGCGTCAACAGATATCCCTCATGGGGTACAAGTGATGCAAAACGGGCAGACCGGGGTGGAGCACATATCCACAGAGCCCGGACATATGGACAGTAGTGATTTTAATTGCTTTAATCACAAAAAGATAAGAGATGCCCAGAGAACGGATAGTGGCTTACAACCGCTATTGAAATACGTCCAGGAACAAAAATTCCCAGGAAGAAGGGAAAGAGAACAATTTGGTCGAGAAACAAAGAAAATACTGAGTCAGTGGGACCGTCTCAGTATAGAGGATGGTGTTCTCATGCGGAGAATTCATGACCAAATTGATGGGACAATACACCAGGTGGTGGTGCCTGGACAGTTACGAGAAGAAGTGCTAAGGTTGGCACATGACAGGGCAGGACACCAGGGTCAGGACAGGACGCACAAAATATTACGATGGAGGTGTTACTGGCCCAATATGGAAATGGAGGTCAAACGCCATTGTGAGGCTTGTGTGAGGTGTCAGCATGCGAAAATGCCAGTTGTCAAAATGAGACAGCCATCAGGACACCTACTAGCGACAAAACCACTAGAGATTGTGGCTATGGACTTTACGTCGTTGGAGCAATCATCGGATGGGACGGAACATGTGTTGGTAATGACTGATGTATTCACCAAATGGACGGTGGCGGTGCCCACGCGAGATCAGACTGCCAAAACAGTGGCAAAGGTCTTAATAGAACATTGGTTCATCAAATATGGCATACCAAGACAATTACACTCTGACCAAGGAAGGGCTTTCGAGTCAGAAGTAATTAACCAACTGTGCAGCCACTACGGGATCAACAAATCTAGAACAACCACATTTAATCCGAAAGGAAACGGACAGTGTGAACGGTTCAACCGCAGCATGCATGATTTGCTGCGTACGCTAGAACCTGAACAGAAAAAACGTTGGCCTGATTTTCTCCCAGAGTTGGTATATCTATACAACTGCACACCCCATGCCACAACCGGCTTTTCGCCACACATGTTGCTGTTCGGACGAGAGGCTCGACTCCCTCTTGATTTGTTCCTAGGAAAAAGGGAGAGTATGACTGGCTCATACACCGCACTGGAATATGTGAATGAACATATGAGAAGAATTAGAGAAATGTACAGGGTAGTACAGGAAAGACTAGAACATGAAGCACGGCGAAGGGAACCGCCGGTACAGACGAAGGACCCGCCACTCAAACTGAATGACAGGGTATTACTGCGTAGCCACCCGTTAGGCAGAAACAAAATCCACGATCTCTGGGGACAGGAGATATGGCAAGTCGTGGAGATGCCTAAAGTAGCAGGTGGCCCCTTTAAGATAAGACCCATCGATCACGCCAAACCGGATCGGTGGGCGAATATTGCTCAATTAAAGAAATATTGGAATAGGCAAGAAGAGCAGTTACACGCAAGGAAATCCAAGACAATTAGGGAACCGGAAACTATAACGGAAATTCACATACCCATCCCGGAACCATATCACCATCAACAGAACAACCGCGATATACAAGTGGAGGATAACGGCAACAAAGAGGATCCCGTTCCTTCCAGAAGCAGAGAGACAGTAGACCATCAGATAAGTGGTCCGCGGAGAAGTTTGAGGAACAGAAGGAAGACGAAATTTTTTGTCAGCAACCATCAAGTCTTTCATGGTCGCGCTGGTATGAGAACAGACGGTTCAAAAACCTATAAAACTGAACTGGTGAAGGCACCAAACGAGAAGGGTGGATGTGAATTCTAGAACTGTTTTGTGTCTCAGGAAGACGATGTAGACACAGTTGATATGTGAAATAGGTATAACTGTCAATCGTATACGAATGGAACGTCGTGGACAGTGAGTGGAACAATAGAATTTTTTTTTTACGATTGTGCGATTGACTTTGGAGGAGTGCACCTGCCAGGCGTTGTTTGTGGTTGAAAACACACAAAAAAAGGCAGGGGTGGATGTAGCTAGGGTGGGCCTAGCTACTAGTCACAAATCTGATAACGAACGATAAGCCGAGACGCAGTATTACAGTCTGACGCAACCGATAGCAGGTGGCTTATTGGATCGGACTGATAACAATCTCAAAGCCAACGCGTGCTATTTTGGGAAACGGTACGAGGGGATTCAGACGGCCTGTCAACTTTGATTGATAGGATGCAGATGTTTATGACACGGACTGTACGTTAGAACTGCGCAACTAGTGGTCGGAGACATCGAGTACAAGTATCGATTACGGAGGAATACAAGTACGAAGATGAGTACGAATACAAGGGATAAATAGGAGGGGACGGCTGAACTCGCCCCTTCCCTCTTCATCGCTCGCTTTAGATCAGTCAGTCTGTGTGACATATCAAGTTGGTTATATTGTGTTAAGAAGGACATTAGACATGTGGATTCAGTTATATGAAGCCTAGTGAGGACTGTTAGGGGGTCAGTTGATTCAGACTATTATATTGAAACATTTCTGTTGATTCATTGTGTTATATTGAAGCATTTCTTGATTCATGTAATAAAAGGATCAATGGCGAACCTGCATCTTCGAGTCTTTCTACTGTAGTCGATGTTGTGTAGCATGAGTGGTTCAACTCGTTACAATTGGCGTTGTCGGGCAGGATAGACTCGGGGAAGGTCACATATATATATATATATATATATATATATATATATATATATATATATATATATATATATATATATATATATATATATATCAGCCTCAAATGTGTGTTACATATTTGAGTACCCGGTAGAAAAAGAATGCTGAAAGAAATGTAGCCAACCACGGTGCCTTGTGCGTCCACATTATGTTGACAGCCTTTGTATTGTGTCGGCCTTTTGGCGTGATCCTATGTTTTTTGATGGAATGAGATGAGAAATGTGGGCATTAAAGATGGCGGGACTATTGTTGCGACGAGTTGAGGTCAACAAATCATTAACTTTGTCTTCTTCCCATTTCACTCTAATTCAAAGTTTGTATTTAAAAAACGCGATGAACCTGAGAAGGTTTGGACATTCTACTTAATTATATTCTATAACGGAGTTAAAACTTACTTCAAGCAAAATGTTTTGACGTGTTACAATAGATAAACAACCTACGAAAATTTATCTAAAATATCTATATTAAAGTTATTTAATCTTATGTTGATTTCCACTTTCTGAAAATATAAGAGTATTAACAAATTCCATGCAAATACACATTTGGTTTTTTTCTGTGACTTTTTTTTTCCTACAATCGTACGTAGACCAACTTTTTAAAAATTAAGACAATAAAGCATTGTTTAAAACCATATTCAGCTTTAGAAATAACTGGGAGGGGGGGGGGTAGGAGGTGAAATACCCCTTGGGGCTACCCCATCCCACCCCCGCCCCACGCCTGTCTCCTCTAACCGTCCTAGGTGTGAATCACCACACCCCAGGTGTGTGTCCTATGCCCCCCCTCCTCCCCACCTGCTCGTTAATGATTGATTAGGTGTCACATGGGATACCATTGATTTAGCGTACACAACATAAACAACGGGCAATGACAGCTGAGGTGAGCCAAATATCATTGGGCGTGCGACAGCCGATGTCATTGAGGTGAGGAAGTTTTCAGAGGGAGGCAGAGGATACATTTCAAACTCCGTTGTGGGAGAGTGGAGACTACCCCACCTCTTCGTGTAGTGTCTGTCATATCTGTTGGCAACAGTGAAATGTGTAGGCGTCAGTGCCATTTGTAGATGTCAGTGCCATTTGTAGGTGTCAATGCCATTTGTAGGTGTCAGTGAAATTTGTAGGTGTCAGTGAAATTTGTAGGTGTCAGTGAAATTGGTAGGTGTCAGTGAAATTTGTAGGTGTCAGTGAAATTTGTAGGCGTCAGTGCCATTTGTAGGTGTCAGTGAAATTTGTAGGTGTCAGTGAAATTTGTAGGTGTCAGTGAAATTTGTAGGTGTCAGTGAAATTTGTTAAGTGACTCACCTTCGTGTCAATGTGCTTCCGGTGGATCCAGCTTTGCGGCCGGAAGTCGAGCCTGTGCCGATGCGCGCGCATGTTTGTGTTTTGGTCTGTCGTCACTTCCTGTTGGGTGCTTTACGGGATCCACCTCAAGCAGGACAGTGGCGTGGGTGGGGACAGGGGTGAGGGCCGGGGTGGGCGTGGCTTGTACAGCGTGCTGGGGCAGTTTGGAGGTGAGGCGAACACGTCATGGCCTGATGGTGCTACGTCAGTCAACTGGACGGGAGATGGCCATCCTGATGTACAGCTAGATGGCCAACAGCTAGATGGCCATCCTGATGTAGATGGCCATCCTGATGTAGATGGCCATCCTGATGTACAATGGCCTGTGGCCAATGGCCCAAGAAAAGATCTCACAGACTTCAAACCAGGCCACCACGTGACTGAGCTAGAGAAGCCTCTAGAGAAAATCATGCCAAAGCTCCGCCCTCCCGTCCCGTACCAACCGGCTCCCGTCATACACCAACCGGCTCCCGCCCAGCACAATCCGGCTCCCGTGATCCACCAGTATGCCGAAGATGTGGAGGAACAGTGGAGCGACTTGATACGGCGTCGGATGGAGACAGGAGCCGGATCAAACTCAGACGCTTCAAAACTCGACCGGCTAAATAACGCTCCTGCCGGTCCCAGGGACCCAGCTGCCGGCCTCAAGTACCCAGCTGCCGGCAACATCACGACGCCATTGAATGACGATTTGACATCACTGATTGGGAAACTCAAAGAGCTGGAAGAAAAAAACTCACGGCAACAGACTTTCCCTGCCGGTAAAGACCGGAAAATTCCGGTTGCACCTGATGTGCCCGCGTATGTGTATAGAAACCTCCACTGGACGATCAGAGAGAGGGGGAGGTACAGCCCCCTGCTGTACGCCCCACCAGCACACGAACAGCCCACTCAGCGGCTGCCTCAGGTGGGTAGTTGTCATGGCAACTACAGCTTTACAGACTGACGTCCTACATGACTGTGACGTCTTACCGTGACGTCTGACTGTGACGTCTTACATCCCGCAGGCCATCATCATCGGTGCAGGGAAGTGCGGTACGCGTGCACTGATCAACTTTCTGGACATGCACCCGTACATCGTGACGGCGAGAGCAGAGATTCACTTCTTCGACGTGGATGAGAACTTTAGGAGGGGCCTGGGCTGGTACCGGCACCAGATGCCACTGTCCTACACCAACCAGGTGAGGTGACACACACACACACACATACACACATACACACATACACACACATACACACATACACACATACACACATACACACATACACACACATACACACATACACACATACACACATACACACACATACACACATACACACATACACACATACACACATACACACACATACACACATACACACATACACACATACACACATACACACATACACACATACACACACATACACACATACACACATACACACATACACACATACACACATACACACATACACACACATACACACATACACACATACACACATACACACATACACACATACACACACATACACACATACACACATACACACATACACACATACACACATACACACATACACACATACACACATACACACATACACACACATACACACATACACACATACACACATACACACATACACACATACACACACATACACACATACACACATACACACACATACACACATACACACATACACACATACACACATACACACATACACACATACACACATACACACATACACACATACACACATACTCACGCATACACACACATACAGGTCAGATGATACAATTATCTACTCCAATGACGTCACACAGCTACAAAACCGCTAACAAAACTTGAAACGCTGAGATGAGAAGGGACGGCATGGCCAGCGCTAGACAACTCATCCGAAAGTCTCGAGTTCGAATCCTGGTTCAAGGCAGTAGAACTTGTCTGAGTCCATCCAGCTCTGATGGGTACCTAACTCACGTTAAGAAAAGTAAAGGCGGCTGGAAATAGTGCTGACCACATTATCCTTTATATACCGAGGTTACAGAAACAGGTGAACTCTAGACCGTCAGGTTCAAAAATTTATTTCACTTCTGATAAAACTTGACACCATCAGATTACCTCTGATAATGTGACACCCTCAAGTTACCTCTGATAATGTGACACCCTCAAGTTACCTCTGATAATGTGACACCCTCAAGTTACCTCTGATAATGTGACACCCTCAAGTTACCTCTGATAATGTGACACCCTCAAGTTACCTCTGATAAACTTGAAACCATCAGATTACCTCTGATAACCTTGACACCATCAGGTTACCATGGAGAAGACGCCATCTTACATCTGGAGCGGGAGGGCGGTGGAGGAGATCTACAAAATGAACCGTGACGTCAAGCTGATCGCTGTCATCAAAGACCCAGTCAGCCGTGTCGTCTCACAGCTGGCAAAGGTCAGCTGGTTTGTTGGATGTCATGTTGGATGTCATGTTGGATGTCATGTTGGATGTCATGTTGGATGTCATGTTGGATGTCATGTTGGATGTCATGTTGGATGTCATGTTGGATGTCATGTTGGATGTCATGTTGGATGTCATGTTGGATGTCATGTTGGATGTCATGTTGGATGTCATGTTGGATGTCATGTTGGCTGTCATGTTGGATGTCATGTTGGATGGTTTGTTGGATTTCATGTTAGATGTCATGTTGGATGTCATGTTGGATGTCATGTTGGATGTCATGTTGGATGTCACGTTAGATGGTTTGTTAGATGTCATGTTGGATGTCATGTTGGATGGTTTGTTGGATGTCATGTTGGATGTCATGTTGGATGTCATGTTGGATGTCATGTTGGATGTCATGTTGGAAGTCATGTAGGATGTCACGTTAGATGGTTTGTTGGATGGTTTGTTGGATGTCATGTTGGATGTCACGTTAGATGGTTTGTTGGATGTCATGTTGGATGTCATGTCGGATATCATGTTGGATGTCATGTTGGATGTCACGGTAGATGTTTTGTTGGATTTCATGTTGGATGTCATGTTGGATGTCATGTTGGATGTCATGTTGGATGTCATGTTGAATGTCATGTTGGATGATTTGTTGGATGTCATGTTGGATGTCGTGGATGTCATGTTGGATGGTTGGTTGGATGGTTAATTTGATGTCATGTTGGATGGTTTGTTGGATGATTTGTTGGATGTCATGTTAGATGTCATGTTGGATGTCATGTTGGATGGTTTGTTTGACGTCATGTTGAATGGTTTGTTGGATGTTATGTTGGATGTTATGTTGGACGCTGGTTGTGTTAAATGCCGGTTACATGCCGGCTATTTGTTTGACGTGTTTTGCTGGCCATGTACTCGTCCTGCGCGTGACGGCCCAGCCACGCCCACATGACGCCAGCAGCCAATCAAACCAGACAGGAACACGCATGCCTACACGAGATCTCCCCCCCCCCCCCCCACCACCACCAGACACGCCAGCATCTAACACGTTAACACAACCACAACACGAGACGGCACTCCTGATAATTCTAGAAATGTCCATAGAGTCCAAAGATGAACGCGGAGTCGCTGTTTGTGACGCAGGAAGATGGCGTCACACGAGTCGATGACGCGAGTCGGACGGTGGACTGGGGCGTCTATGTCAAGTACTTCAAGCTGTGGCTGTCTCGCTTTCCGCTCACTCAGGTCTTTAGCTTCGCTTTACGTCGTCACACTTCTTTGATCGTTCTTCGCTTTACGCTTTTTTTTTTACTTCTCAATATCATTCATTCCCCCACCACCCCTTCCCTCCACATTTCCAATGTCACATCTCATCCAATATCCTTACATCCATCCATCATGTCTGATCCAACATCCACACATCCATCCATCAGATCCACGTCTTGTCTGGCGAAGACCTAGTGTCCCACCCCGCCCGCGAGGTGCAGAAGATCGAGAAGTTTCTAGGAGTCCCCGCCCGACTGACCGAGCGGAACTTTGTGTACAACAGGAGCAAGGGCTACTACTGCAGGCGGCCTCTCCACACGGACCTGGTCCAATGTCTGGGGAAAGGTCACTCCCACCCCGACCTCGAGCCTCGTTTTCACTCACTGCTCTACGACTTTTATAAACCCCACAACGAGGCTCTGTTTGATTTGTTGGGCCGGCGATTTGATTGGTCAGCTCGAGCTGCTAATAAACCATAAACAGAGAGACACCCACTAGCCGGGTCATTGACTGGACACGGGGTGATGGACGGGTCACACCATACAACATATGAACGGGTCATCCAACAAACTTTGCTGTGCTGCACGTTTCAACCATATTCACCCAACACGAGAACAGCCACAGGACAGCTGGCGACAGCCACAGGACAGCAACACAGGGCTGTTGGAAGGATTGTAGGAAAAAAGTCACAGGAAAGAAAAAAATCAATTTAATTCAAGTTAATTCTTTTATGTATAATATATTCAGAGAGTGCAAATCAACTTATGATTAATTTTATGTAATGTTTGTAGGTTGTATAAGTATAGTAATTTTTATAACACATCTAAAAATATTTAGTGTGAAGTATGTAGATTGTAACTATGTTAGACATAATATAAATCAATAGAATGTTCCAACGTTCTCGGTTTTCATCGTGTTTTGTTTTTTTAAATACTAACATTAAATTACCGTCAAATGGTAAGTTCTTCTGACTTGCTGCCGTCAACTAATTGCAACAATAGTTATGTTTAGTTCAACCACCTTTACTGCCCACATTTATCACGCTCATTACATAACAAAACTTAGGATCAAAACAGTGAGCCGACAAGGTTCAAAGGCTGTCATTGACGCATAACGTCAACAACACAAAATATGTTCGGACAAGGCCGACTGAGGAAAAGCCGACCAGAGAATAGACAGCGGCAAAACATATGCAACACAATAATGTGCCTAAATTTCTTTTATAATTAATTTTTCTACCACGAATTTAACTAAGTACGTAACAATAGTAGAGATTGTTGTGTAAATTATCTTAGAGTATTTTTACTTACAACTGATATAAACCATAATGCTTTTGACGTCTATAAATAATTTATGCTATCAAAAAATACAAACCACAAAAATAAACACACACAATTTTACAATTCTTGATAAATAAATCAAAATATTTCTTAAATTAGTTTTGTGACTCTTTTTCCTGTGACTTTTTTCCGTTGACCTTTGAAAGTGCTGTACCTTCCTAATTTTACCGTCGTGTTTGACAGCCCACGACAAAAATCTGCTCGATCAATAAATCGATGCAAATATTTCATGGCTCCGTGTTTCACGCCGTAAAGCGATTACAGCAGGTGGCAAATCAAGGCTTTCCACACCCGGTCTGTGCAGGGGGAGTAGAGTTGACCTATTCATAGTCTGTGTAGGGGGAGTAGAGTCGACCTATTCATAGTCTGTGTAAGGGGAGTAGAGTCGACCAATTCACTCATAGTTTGTGTAGGGGGAGTAGAGTTGACCTATTCATAGTCTGTGTAGGGGGAGTAGAGTCGACCAATTCACTCATAGTTTGTGTAGGGGGAGTAGAGTCGACCAATTCACTCATGGACTGTGTAGGGGGAGTAGAGTCGACCAATTCACTCATGGACTGTGTAAGGGGAGTAGAGTAGACCAAATTATAGACGTAATAGAAATGATCAAGTCACTGGCAGCCATTACAACTGTTCTAGCTGTAGCTATTACAAATATTATAGCTGTAGCCATTACAACTGTTCTAGCTGTAGCCATTACAAATATTATAGCTGTAGCCATTACAACTGTTCTAGCTGTAGCCATTACAAATATTATAGCTGTAGCCATTACAACTGTTCTAGCTGTAGCCATTACAAATATTATAGCTGTAAACATTACAACTGTTCTAGCTGTAGCCATTACAAATGTTATAGCTGTAGCCATTACGACTGTTCTAGCTGTAGCCATTACAAATATTATAGCTGTAGCCATTACAACTGTTCTAGCTGTCGCCATTACAAATATTATAGCTGTAAACATTACAACTGTTCTAGCTGTAGCCATTACAAATGCTATAGCTGTAGCCATTACAAATGTTCTGGCTTCCACTTTACAGCCATACAGTCGAGCTAAGATTACCCCCCCCCCCCACCAATCGAATGTGTGCTGCCATTTATCCCACAGGACTTACAGGATAATTGCTGTTGTTTCAAACCTGGTATGTCATTACCCGCAGGGGAAGTAGAGCTGGTCGATTGGCGCATTCTCTTCTTCAGCAATCTACTATCACCTTGTTTTTTTTGTTTGCAGATGTCATTCTATCTAGATGTCATGTGTCATTCTATCTAGATGTCATGTGTCATTCTATCTAGATGTCATGTGTCATTCTATCTAGATGTCATGTGTCATTCTATCTAGATGTCATGTGTCATTCTATCTAGATGTGAAATGTGTCAATCTAGCCAAAGATTGCATGTACCTACTTACAAATGTCATGTGTCATTCTGTTTAACATATATCAATCCACCTACATATGTCATATGCCTATCCACCTACATATGTCATATATCAATCCACCTACATATGTCATATGCCTATCCACCTACATATGTCATATGTCAATCAAATTGCAGGCTGTGTATGTTCTGTTCCAGCCCGTGGGTCGGGCATTGACGTCACTAAATTCAATACTCCAACGATCTTGACATTTTCCTACCCCAAGCTCCCCTCGCCTACCCCAAGCTCCCCCCACCTACCCCAAGCTCCCCCACCTACCCCAAGCTCCCCTCGCCTACCCCAAGCTCCCCCCACCTACCCCAAGCTCCCCTCGCCTACCCCAAGCTCCCCCCACCTACCCCAAGCTCCCCCCACCTACCCCAAGCTCCCCCCACCTACCCCAAGCTCCCCCCACCTACCCCAAGCTCCCCCCACCTACCCCAAGCTCCCCTCACCTCCCCCAAGCTCCCCTCACCTACCCCAAGCTCCCCTCACCTATCCCAAGCTCCCCTCACCTCCCCCCACCTTCCCCTACCTCTCCCCTCACGTACTAACCTGCTCAAATTATCTTTTATTTCACAATTGTAAACTTTAACATTTGAAATTTGGACTGGCTTTAGTACACCTGTGATTCTAGCACACCTGTGATTCTAGCACACCTGTGATTCTAGCACACCTGTGATTCTAGCACACCTGTGATTCTAGCACACCTGTGATTCTAGCACACCTGTGATTCTAGCACACCTGTGATTCTAGCACACCTGTGATTCTAGCACACCTGTGATTCTAGCACACCTGTGAGTCTAGCACACCTGTGATTCTAGCACACCTTTGATTCTAGCACACCTGTGATTCTAGCACACCTGTGATTCTAGCACACCTGTGATTCTAGCACTCCTGTGATTCTAGCACACCTGTTATTCTAGCACACCTGTGATTCTAGCACACCTGTGATTCTAGCACACCTGTGATTCTAGCACACCTGTGATTCTAGCACACCTGTGATTCTAGCACACCTGTGAGTCTAGCACACCTGTGATTCTAGCACACCTTTGATTCTAGCACACCTGTGATTCTAGCACACCTGTGATTTTAGCACACCTGTGATTCTAGCACACCTGTTATTCTAGCACACCTGTTATTCTAGCACACCTGTGATTCCATGATATCTGTGACAGCTCAAATTCCATCGCTATCAACATTGTGTGAGGCATGGCAATAACCCAGGTCTAGAATTATCTGATGGTGGTCGACTTTGATGGTGTGTATCTGAGCTTTATTGTTGATAAATGATGAGCCATCGTTTGACAGCTTTGACAGCAAAACAGCCACCACAGCAAGACAGCCATGACAGCAGGCAGCCATGACAGCAAGACAGCCATGACAGCAAGACAGCCATGACAGCAGGCAGCCATGACAGCAAGACAGACCATGTCTTTAGCACGCCCCATGAACACTATGACGCCTATGTTTGGTTTAAAGAGCGCCATACACAATGGATGTGGTGAACTCCTATAGTCGTCACCCGGAACCCCGCCCGTACGGGAGGGGGCCCCGAGTTTCCCAGAGACCCCTGCACGGGGTTCGTTGATTGGTTGTGCTGCACAATGATACCACGTGATGCAGCTGTAAAAATGCACACGGACGGCCTCCGGCACCCGGCAGTCGACTGACACGGAATATTCCGGTCTGCTATATGAGCACTATGTCGTCTACATTCGTTTTAAAAATCACAATACCCCCCCCCCCCAGAATGACCCACCTCAAGACAATTAGTCCACCCCTCCCCCAGAAATACCTACTTCCCCCACACCATATACTACCCATCCCCCAGAATAACCCACCTCAAGACAATAAGTCCACCCCTCCCCCAGAAATACCTACCCCCCCCCCCACCATATACTACCCCTCCCCCACACTAACCCACCCCAAGACAACACGTCCCCACCTCGCGTGTTGAGCATTGTGTTGGAAACTTGCGTGCAAGGGAGAGAACTGCTACTAAAACATTATGTCGAAGCCACCCTGATTGTTTACCTTGGTTGTAAAACATAAGCTGGTCAATTTGTGGTCGACTTGTGGTCAACTTGTGGTCAACTTGTGGTCAACTTGTGGTCAACTTGTGGTCAACTTGTAGTCAACTTGTGGTCAACTTGTGGTCAACTTGTGGTCAACTTGTGGTCAACTTGTGGTCAACTTGTTGTCAACTTGTGGTCAACTTGTGGTCAACAATATCATGTGGCTATTTATTTATATATTTAAAAAAAACTCATTTCAATTTTTAAAGCTGACTTATTCAGATAATTAATTAATTAAACGTGTAATTCTTTGTGAAGGAGATTGAGTGTGTGGAGGGGTGGGGGTAGTTGGTGAATATCTCAAACATGATCGTACACTATAAATAGGATATGAGGTTGGGTTCAATAGGACATGGGGTTGGGTTCAATAGGACATGAGGTTGGGTTCAATAGGACATGAGGTTGGGTTCAATAGGATATGAGGTTGGGTTCAATAGGACATGAGGTTGGGTTCAATAGGATATGAGGTTGGGTTCAATAGGACATGAGGTTGGGTTCAATAGGATATGAGGTTGGGTTCAATAGGACATGGGGTTGGGTTCAATAGGACATGAGGTTGGGTTCAATAGGACATGGGGTTGGGTTCAATAGGACATGAGGTTGGGTTCAATAGGACATGGGGTTGGGTTCAATAGGATATGAGGTTGGGTTCAATAGGATATGGGGTTGGGTTCAATAGGATATGGGGTTGGGTTCAATAGGACATGAGGTTGGGTTCAATAGGATATGGGGTTGGTTCTAAAAAAATATGGTCACCGGAAGTATAGATTGTGTCATATCTATGTTACACAGAGGACGGTTATCTTTTTAGATTGTGATCACTAGAGACACTGGAACGTTGCTACACCATTACACAATCAAAGATCTGTAATATTAGTTTTGTTATTACCCACGGTAGTTACCACAGGGTAGTTACCCCACGGTAGTTACTCCGGGGTAGTTAGCCCATGGTAGTTACTCCAGGATAGTTACCCCACAGTAGTTACCCCACGGTAGTTACCCCATGAATATGAATGCAAAGATAGGAGTTCAATAACAAAAGGTGGACAAGGACATAACCTGGTGTTCACCGCCATTTAAGGTCATGACGTAAGCAGGTCTCACCGG